ACACACACACACACACACACACACACACACACACACACACACACACACACACACACACACACACACACACACACACACACACACACACACACACACACACACACACACACACACACACACACACACACACACACACACACACACACACACACACACACACACACACACACACACACACACACACACACACACACACACACACACACACACACACACACACACACACACACACACACACACACACACACACACACACACACACACACACACACACACACACACACACACACACACACACACACACACACACACACACACACACACACACACACACACACACACACACACACACACACACACACACACACACACACACACACACACACACACACACACACACACACACACACACACACACGCACACGCACGCACGCGTGCATGCACGCAATCCGTCCGTTCCATCAATATATAATTAGCGTCAAGCTACGCGCGTTATATTTGGTTTAATTGCCGCCAGAGATGCTCTCCCGTTCGCGATGTTACGCAATATCGGATATTTACCTCGTTGCAATATCTCAAAGCGAGGCAAAATATGGAATGTATATTTTGATATCGACCCGCATCAAAGCTGCAAATCTAACGTCTACTCGCAGTCGATCAAACGTTTATAAGTTGCGCGGAGAACTAAAAGGATGTTGAAATTTTGCGACGAAAGCACCGCCGTGAAAGCGCCCGCGCGCCGATATAACAAGTTATCGTAACCGTCGCTCTGGTAGTCGTGACAAAAAAGAGAACTCGATGTAAAAAAGCTCGAGGTACCCAAATAAAATTGTTCGCCTGTAATCGAGTCCTCGAAGAGGAAAAGCTGCGTCGTCGTAGAGAACCTCGCGAATGCCAATATTCGTCGTTTATGCATACGTCGCGTTTTCCTCTCGCGCGACCGCCTACCTAGCAAATCTCGAGGAGGACGTACGAGAAGGAAAAATATCAATCGCGCACCGATATATCACGGTTAATTAAATCCTTTTGCTCAACATATCGATCTTTGCTACTTCTCTCTCCTTCGTGTCTTCAACATTTGCACGTTATCAGCTTGATGATAGGTTTAATCTTCGTTATTAACTCTCCGCGCGCAATGTCGGGTCTGCAAGACCCGAACAGACATTCGATCGCTCACCAACTTCCGCAATGGATCTGGGAAAATTTCAAAATGGCGTAAATATATTTGCAGATTTCGATTACGTTGCTGTCTTATAGCTGAGACTTTTCTACGGAGAACCGTATTAATGTCATTACCCGAAACTCATCTGAAATGAGATATTTCTAATCTGAGTTCAGAGTTAGATAACGGAGTTTTTCTATCGAATCGCAATTACGTCCATATTAATAGCCGTTACTTGAAATTTGTCTCACGCGAAATACTTAGACCCGCGTTTAGAGTTAGACCTGAGTTTTTCAATTAAACTATATGATAAATGCGACGTTACATTTGTAATCGTGATTCAGCTGAAAAGTTCACGTTTAAGGCCCAGTTCCACAACCTCCAATTAACTTGACTGACTGGTTATTCCATTGGACTTGACCAATCGCATTTGACATTAAGAAGAGTTAATCAGAATTAACCAATCACTATTGGGGCTTAGTCGGTAGTTAAAATTAAACGGATGTTGTGGAATTTGGCCTAACTCTAAATTTAAATCTTTCCAACTGAGTTAAGTTTTAAATAACGATTATTAATACAGATCTTAATGTCCTATATATAAAATTCGACACAAACATTTGGATTTAACTCCAAATAAAAACCTGAATACATGAGGCAAGTTTTTAATGGTTGTTATTGATACGAGTCTAAATCTCTGGGAAAATTATGGTAATTCAAAGTTCCTGAGTCGAAATCTTAGTCCTGCTTTCAACCTGAACTTTCTAACATTTATATATCCTGAAAGATAGTGTAAAATGTGCATGGAAACTGAGATTCTACTCAGCGCCTCTAAATAGCATAAAACGCCATTTGCAGATCCTAAAGAGGAGTTCTCGGCAAAGCAGTGGTTTAAATAGAACAAAAGAGGCAGTGGTTTAAATAGAACAAAAGAGCTAATGTAGACTTTAGAATATCAAAACAGGCGTTAAATGGAACATTGAGATCAAAAGTAGGATCAAAATTTTGACATGGGTTGGGCGGTGGTCTAACAAACTCAGAGTGCACATATCTCCCAAAAAATACGATTGTACGCGAAGGATTGAACGTTAAACATAATCACGCGGACCAATCGTCTATAAACTGTCGTCGGGAGAAAAATCGCCGCCTAATTCGTCGAAGGATCGTGCACACGTTCGCCGTTTAAGTTCTACGGTTCGCCCATGAAAACCCATGTACACGCGGATCCATTAATATCCCCGCGTTGCTATTCATTGCGCGGCGCTGCGAGAGTCGTTTTTCACGGCGGACCACAAAAGTCATCGCCGTGGATGCGTTCTCACGTAAAAAGCTCGAGTGTCACGTCGGCTGGTGCTTTCGCAGCGGCGACGTTGCGCGACGGTGACGAGTTCGTTGTGACGAGGAGGCCGTTGTTGACGTCCTCGTCGTCGTTGTCGTAGTCTTCGTCGTCGTCAAGGTTCGCGATGCGAGGAGACGGCAGGGGGCAGTGATGCGGGCGCGCGCGCGCACGGGAGAGAACGGGCGAATTTAATTTCTACGTAACATTACACCTTAGGAGCCTTATACCAGCGCCATTGTGCGCCTCCAGGGGCGACGCGCGGAGAGACACTCGATCGCAGGACTCCATTTGCGGTTTAGCATAATGGAAACCCAACGCGCCTCGGGGGCCGTCCGCGCCCCTGCCCTCGATGTCTCGTCTTGCCTCGATCTACTTCGTTCTCGTATTCTCTCGCTTGTGTGGCTGTACGTGTGTACGTGTGCATGCGCGTGTGTTTGCGACTATGTAAGAATGAACAAAAATAAGTAAACCGTGGAAACACAGCGAAAATAACCCGCCGCTCCCGGTACCATTCAGCGTCAAACATGGGCCGCTGGCCATTTCTAACGAGGGGCTGCTACGAAAACGTGACGCGCGTCGCGGATTCTCTCCCGTATATACATTTCGCGCTCTCCTCCCTTGTATGAAAATATTTATTCACTAATGGAGAATTTATTAACGAATATTCCCGCAATTGCGCGCGCGTGATTGTCCGACGTAATGTAAAGAAAAAAAAAGGAAAATAACAGCACGGAGAAAGGATATCATTTTATATTTAATAATTTTATATTTAATAAATTTTATGTTTAATTAATTTAGAATAATTTAGAGTAAAGTTCTTTTTCTCTCTATTGTGGTGCAACACTTTGTAAAAATGTTTCGTCCAGATTAATAACGTTAATTTTAATGCAATCGACGTCTCCGATAGACAGTTATTTATTTCGCACGTTCGGAACCGAAGTAGCCATTCGCCATCACTCCACCGAATGAAAATGCACTCAGAGTTGTCAGACATAGATCCTCCTTACTGTTAAGCTATCACTAATGACACTAGTCGTTCAGGCGCCCAGATATATCCGTCAGGGCGTAAAGAGTGCCGGAATGATCCCCGAATCACCCGGCAAATGCACGTCTGCCGTGACTCGATGGGTGTCATTCGTCTGACGAGAGCGCCCACGGCTAGACTCATTTTCGGCGACGAAACTGAGCCCAGCCTCTCTCTCACTCCTTATCTTTTATTCTTCCAGGGAGGCTGTGATGAAGGAAGTCGGCTAAAAAGGAGCCCCGCGTCGCGCAAGCGTCGGTAGGAGTATAGGAAAGATGCCGCTTTCCTCGAGAGTCTTATTAAGCCCGCTGCTGCTTCTAATCATCGCAGGAAGCACCGGCGTCTTCAGCTTCAAGCAAGGAGGTAAGAAACCTTCGTCTTGAACGACGTTTTGCCGCTGGGTAGACAATGACGATGACATCGACGACGGCAACGACGACGGCAACGACGACGACGACGGCAACGACGACGACGACGACGACGACGACGATGGTTGTTACGAAATCTGCCTTTTCGTGGCAACGACGAATTTTCACAAGAATATAGTCGCGGTTGTACTCTTCTCCCTTCCCTCGCTGCTCCCGAGCTCGTCGCTAGGCGTTGTATCTTCAAGTTTTGAAATAGCGCATATTTCCGTCCCCACGGAGCTTCCGTCTGTCAATTTCACGCTATTTGCGCATTCGTCGACAAGCGTGAAAATACGTTATCACGGCGTTTCTCGTTCCTTTATTTTACGCACGTTCTTCTGCGACGATCGGAGCGTCGACGACGCGTCCTCGAGAGGGGAAAGATTTGCGGTACAATCAATACACACTTAGAAAAGTAACTGCACGGAAAACAGGATTTCAGTTCGTGTGAACTGAGTGGGGGACTAGACGAAAAACTCGCCGGCGAGAAATTATATCTCTGTTACTGCGACCGAAAACATTCGTCTGAACATTCAGCTGCATTCAAACTCGATTGAGATGATTGAGAGCAATTTACTGAGTGGTAACCTCTTATAGGAATCTTTCTGTCTCTACAATCGAGTTTTTTATTTGCTTCCCAAGTAACAGATAATTTAGTTACGTCATTAAGCGCCAGTTGACACTGACAGAATTGTTCTTCTGTGTACAACGCATATGTTACGTTATGTGCTTATTGCTTGGTACTTTGTATTATGTTGCCTAATATTGCAATATATAATATATGTAGTCATAGAATATCAAAAAATGATCTCCATCGAAATGATCATCACAAAACAGACCCTCAAGAGGTAATCACAAAATCACTCCTCATCCAAAGAAAAACGAACTCAGCTTTCGAATTTATCCCACGTTGCTACGACGTTTCCACGAGGAGTTCTCGATGAGCGGCGAGTCCTTTGGCGGGGACTAAGACCTGCCAACATTGTTGCGCGTCGTCGATCGCCGACGAAGGACCCGCGCCGTTTTAAAAGGCTCCGGGAACTTGGAACGCACGTATTTCGGCGAAAAATCGACGTACGAACGTGAAACAAACGCCATTATTCTTAGCATCCCGTGCGCCACGTATTCGCACTCGACATATGCGCCGTTGTTTTGACACGTGCTTTGCATATGCAATTATGACAAGTGGAATACGCGATGCACTGTTGTATACATAGGGAGAATTTTACAGTAAAAATTACGATAGAGTTTTGTAACCGGGGGACTTAGATTGACATTCTGCAGAAATTCACTCTATCCTTTCATTTCATATGTACTATCTAGGATTGCATTCCAAAACATTCTTTTTGAGGAAAATTTTACTCAATATCTATACGTTCACGTTACATATACTATAAAGTATCGAGTAAATTTCCTCAAAAAAGACGTTTTGGAACGCAACCTAGAAATATATTTTAGAAACTGAAATGTGCTATTAAAACTGCTAAGTTTCTAGCGAAATTTACTGTATTGCCTAGCAAGCTGGACCTTACTGACAGTCTATTCCTCAACTATTAAAAATATAAGAGAATTGAAAAAAATTTGTATGAAAAGGAAAAATCTTAAAAAATACTCTCTCTGCGTAGAGATGCCAGAATATATTTTAAAAAGGAAATGGAATGCTGTGGAAGTTTCCATCGTGCAAAATACACGAAAGTTCGCGCAAGCTTTGAAACATTTTGCGCAAAGATTCCTGGTGCGATCCGTCACTTTACCCGAATGGAAAAAGTGACGCAAGCCCGATCGTAAAGCCCTATACGGAAAGCAGCTCTCTAATGTCCCCTTTTTACCTCGACACGATGATACATTTTTATCGTGCTTCTTGTGCAGAACGAGATGCTGAGAAGAAACGCGAGTCCCCTCGGAGGGAAGGTATCTCTATCTCTGTCCCTTTCTCCCCGAGAGAAGAAGATACGCGGAATTGTATGTACGGTAATCGGCTTCAATATGCTCCTGCTGTACACACGAATTCTTCCGGCGAAATCACGGCGCACGACGCGAGATAAACGTACCACGGCGCCAGGCGAATATTTGGCACGAAGCGCACTTCCGCGGAAAGCGGGGCCCGGGAGCATACCGCACGGTGTTCCGGCGATCTCCCGAGCATTCGTAACTTCGTACGTCGAGCCGGCCGATTTCGAGAGAACCGCGGAGTAACCTGCGGTTATTCAGTCCCGCGCGCATATATCGACGAGAGGATAACAGCGCGTGCACGTGCACAGGACAGCACAGTACGAGCAAAATATTTCCGCACCTTCCAACTGGTGTCATCCGTTTCCCCCTTTCCTCTCCTTTCTCCCCGCTCCACTATCCCGTTTTCCCTGCATTTCACCTTCGCTTCAGCTAGCATTCTCCCTTTCTCTCTCTTCGCTAGCTGCGTTTGCAGAGAGAACGCCTCTTAGTGACCATTTCCTAGATTAAGGTCACCTGGAAAACAAATAGTTGTTAGAGGAACGTATAGTACAGGAGGGAGGGAGGAAGGAGGGATGAGGGGAGAGAGAGAGAGAGAGAGAGAGAGGAACAGAAGAGGAAAGAGGAACTCGGGGTAGTTGCACTGACGACGAACTTCCGGTATATACGTCCCTGGAAAACTATTATGCGCGAAGGTCCGTTGCATTCGAGGAGAAACTCGGCGCGCCAGAATGTACGAGTGAGCGCCGGACAAATTGTCCTGCGATCCTTGCGACTCGCCAATGACGGTAAATCCTTCGGTCGCACTCTCGAGAATGCGTTCGATCGATACGTTGGATCAGTGGTTTCCAACCTTTTTGCAGAAAAGAGTGGGTCTAGGCGAGTTCTGAAGCGATAAAAAGTTCTCTTGAAGCGCGGTTGTTCGTTGTTTCCCAACTATACTCGAAGAAAAAGATACAGTGGTAACAATACAGGTGACAGCTGTATGAGTTTTGTATGTGGAATTCATGTATGTACAGTTTCACAAACTATTTTGTAGTAATCGTAACTAACGTAAACTGAATGGTTACGAGAACTGCATAGTTACCACATAATTTTCGTAACCATTCGGTTTTAGTTATAATAATACGAGAAAATAGTTTATTAATTTATATAATATATATAAATTCTATGTGAAAAATTCGTATAGTTGCGACCTGTATAGTTACCACTATCATGTTTTTTCTCTGCGTGTAGAAATTGATCCTATGATTCTGATCACACAGATTGATCCCAATCAATTATCAAGTTTGTCCGAGATGATGTGTTATCGAGTTCTCAACATTAATAATCGTTATTATTACTAAAATCCTGATTATCAGGATTAACTGAGTTGCATGACTTATCAGGATGCAGTTTATACTTGAATACTGAGAAAAGATGTTTAGTATTTATAATTATAATCACATATAGAGAAATTACTATAAGTTATAATTAAAAAAACTATTTTTTCTCTTTTATTAAATTCTACTATATAATATTAGTGATAATAATTATTATGTATTTGTTACTAGTATTATTTTCGTGTTTGAACAACCGAAACATCTGATTGGAGCCAAAAATAACTATAATTTTAGTTAAATCAGCTATTTTTCTCAGTCCAGATAACTGATTGGGATCAACCTAATCAGGACCACAGGATAAATTTTCAGTCATTAGAGAGGAAGAAAGGGAGAAAGGAAGATAGATGGAAGATAGGGAGTGCAATAAAATTGTAATGCTTGCACTACTTCATGCATACTTCCCCCGCTTCCGAATTTTCCGTTCCCGCATAATCTTCGGTGCGCGAGACGTAGTCGTTTGAGAGAAAAATAAAAGAATCATGCGGTTAAAATGGAGAGGAGAGAATTGCGATAACTTGATGGATAACCGTAGGGGAAATCGCAATTACTCGATTGGATCGCGCATCGGCACGGATATCAATTAAGCAAATGCCTGACGCGAAGAACATATCGACTAAACGATTACGTCTTTCGCGGATGTACCGCCGACACACAGAGAATAGACCTCCGTTCGCGGATTCCTAAATTATCAAACGTCGTTGACGTCGCATTCGAATCACCGCCAGACAGGTCGCTGCGGATGATTACACGTTCTCGCGCGACACAAATGAAATTACTGCACGACGAGAATTCAGAAGCCCGCGACTTTTCCAGCTTGGCGACGCAGAAAAATGTAATGGCAAGAGACGTCTGTCTCTTTGCACATCCGCTTTTGATTACCGAATCCGCGTAACTCGCTTGTGACACACCATCTCGTCGCCGCTGCCGTCGCCGTCGTCATCGTCATCCTCGGACTGACTCTTTAACGGCCGCGCGCGAAAACACACAGGAATTAATTTCGCGCTGACTTCGCAACTCGTTAAAAATCACATCGGGGGTGTAATGATTTTCCGATATTCCTTCCCTTGAGACATTTCTTTCTCATTAGAACGAACGCGTTGATCGCGCGTAAGATCGTTCGTGCGCAGCGCGCGAACAAACAGATTTCCGAGGCGTTGTGCGTCTGCGAAACTAATAATAACGTCGCCGAAACTTGGCCAACTTCGTCTTGGTCTCTGTCATAGTCTCGGACATTTTGCGGCGACATGTTCCGTAATGATCAACGAAGCCGGGGCGTGTGTGCGCGCACGTACCTTCGCATCGAGTGCGCGCGCGAATGCAAACGCGCGATTTCCCGGAGAGGTCCGACTTAGAATCCGACCCGGTTCCGCATTTAGGTCAGCCCGCGCGATCTATTCTCGGGCGCGGAGGGTAAAACACTCCTTACCCACCTACTTAGCCCCGGGTCGTGCGGCGCTCGGGCGGACGTTGATTAGCTGGAAATTTATGCGCCCTCGGGGTCGACGCTGACATCCGGTGGCGAAATCGCGGCCGTGCCGTACGGGGAGAGAAAACGCCGTCGAAGAAGAACTTGGTTGCCCTAATCGCGGGGCAAACAAGATTATCTGATCGAATTTTAACGGAG